TTCCCCACCCTGATGTCCCCCTCCTGGTATCTGTCCTCTCTGCTGCTCCCAGCAGCCCGCCCCACCCTCTGCTGCCAGTTCCCAGTAATTCCCAGCCAGGGCCCCTGGGCCAGGCACAGCCCCTGACCCTGAACACCTCTCACCCTCCCTCAGGGTAGGAGGAGCTGTCCCGGGTCGGCCTGCCTGGAAGGAGGGGGAAGGTTCTAAGCTGCCGCGGAGCTGGATAGGCCAGAGCCCTGCCATTTGCAAACAGGGGGTCCTGCACGTGTCCGTCATGCTGGGGGTCCTCCCTGTCTGTGAAAGGCTCACAGGGCGATGGGCAGGAGCCGAGGGGACCCAGCGGGCCTGGCATAGAGTGGATGCCCAGCCCCCAGCCCAAGCTCTTCCTCTCACTGCCTTGCTCCCAGCTTTCTGCCGGCCTGCCTGTTCCCCTCTGGCTGTGTTCTGTCATGGTCCGCCCCCATCTTTTTTGGCTGGCTCGCCCCGCCGCCCCTCTACATTCCCCATTTCCTCTTCAGCTCCTTTCCCAGAACGGCCCATTTTCCTTCGGTAAGTCCTTCCTGAAGTCTGACCTTCTGTGGCAGGTTGCCTCTCCCCAGCCGGGCCTCTTCCCAGGCTGCCCTGCAGCTGGGGCCCTGAGGGAGGGGGTGGGGTGGGCTCTATGGTAACCCTGGGAAGAGAATGCCCTTTCTCCTCATCTGCATACAGACGGTCTCATCTGCATACAGACGGCCTCATCTGCATATGCTCAGTGGGACTCTGAGAGCACATTCCGGAGTGTCCCGCCTGGCCCCTCCCAGCCCAGTGCTGGCATCCAGGCAAGGGAGGGCCCCCACCCCTCTGCCCCTGTCTGGGTCTGGGTCTTTCTGCTTCCAAAGGGCAGCCCACCCTCCGTGGCCCCTCTCACACCCGCTGTGCCGTGCCCTGCCCTTCCTTCCTGTGCACAGAACGTGTCCCAGTGCCTGCACCAGGAGACTCCTTTCCAGGCTGGGAGGCCACCGGTGCAGGCACAGGGCTGACCCCAGTCACTGGCTGCCTCCCCCACCCAGGCCCCCAAAACCCAGAGGGGAAGGAGGCTGTGAAGACTGATGCTCAGGCCGGCGGGTGGGCGGACCCCCAGCAGCTTCCTTCATGCTGACCCCAGGCCCAGACCCTGTCTCCATTCACCCCTCCTCCCCAGAGACCGTCCCGGGGGTGGGGGGACTGCGGGGGGGTCCTTGCAAGGCCAGACAGCAGGAAGGGTCCTGAAAGGAGGGCTGGGAACCTTAGAAGCGCGGGCCAGGCATGGGGAGCCCAGGCTCAGTCTCAGGCTCTTCAATAAGCCACATCATGGTACAAATGGAATGGCCTCTTCTTGGCTGCGTCCTGGGCCTTGGTCAACCCTCTGAGACCCTGTCCTTGCAGGGGACCCTGGGCTTCTTGGTGCGTGTGGGCGGGGGCAGGGGTGGGGGCTCCACCATGCTGAGGGTCCTGGCCGTAGCCCTTCTCCTCTCTGGCGTCCATTTCCTCTGTACAATGGAGAGCGGGACTAGACCAGGGGGTTTTCACGTGTCCCTTCTTCCTGGAAACAGTGTCCAGGTGCCTAACCAGGATTCTGTATGCCATTTCCGCAGATGCCAGGGTCCCCTGAGGTTCATCTTGACCTGACGCTATGAGCCCTGGTCCAGGGAGCTGAATATGCTGTGGTCAGTGTTGAGATGGAAGGGGGTTGTAGACATATGTGCATACATGCATATGGAGTATCTCAGGGAGAACACGGGGACCGGTGGTTGCCTTTTGGAGAGGAGGTGGGTGGCTGGAGACGGGGTGGGCAGGAGACATACTTTCCCTTTTGTGCTGTTGGAAGTGTACCATGCTTCCTATCTTAAGCCTTTTTATCTAGAAAGATTCCAGGTTTCAGACTATAATTCCATGGAGGGGCTGTGGTTAGATGGAGGAAGAACTTCCTAGAGGGTGATAGAGATCTCAGAAGGGGCTGATAGTCTGGACTCTAACGCTTTATAGGAGGGGCTCTGTAGAGTGAGAGGGGCCCATCTTTTGGGGGAGCACATTGGATATAGACGCATCATGGGGGAAATGGGGTCAAGAGCACAGTCCCAACTCCTTCTTACTGCGGGTCCCTTGCCCTCAGGTTCCCACCAAGGTCTTGTTGGGAAGTCCTACCTGCTGTCTAACCTGAGTCCCTTTTGCTAAGTATATTCCTCCCCTTCTGTGTCTACTGAGGAGGGACAGAGGAAGCAGAGTGGGTGCTCTGTCTCTGTGGTTTGTGTTCAGACACAGGAGGATGTTTGTGAAGAAGGGCCCCTTCGTGGAGGAGACAGAGGGCCACCCAGGGACCCCTGGCACAGGCACTCCGGGCAGCAAGCCCAGCCTCTCCCACTCTCTTGGTCCTTGCGGTGGTAGCTCCTCAGCTGGGAGCATCTGCCCGTTGCTCTGAGGTAGGAGTGGCCAGAGCCTGGGTGGCATTGCCGGGAGCCTTGGGGCCGCTGGGAGAGGTGGAAGCAGCCAAGAAAGTCTTTAGTCTCCACCCCACCCCCACAGGTGAGATCTGTGTCTTCCTGAGGCTTCCCTCTTCTGCTGCAACGGTGGCCCCCACAGCAAGGGTCTCTCGGGGAGCCCTCCCCTCCCAACCCTGCCCAGGTATATCGCGACCACCAGGACTGGTTCAGCATTCAGGAGTCTTTATTAGACATGAGATGGGACCCCCGTCCCAGAGGACTGTCAGCTCAGATGACATAGGAGGGACCGGGATGGGCCAGGTGGACAGCTGCAGACACGGGAGCATGGTGGAAGGAAGTCTCCCCGGTGGCTCCAGGGGGGAGCCAGGGCTGGAGCCAGGGCCTGGCCACTTCCATCCTGCTCAGGGGCCTCCTGGAGCAGCCAGCCAATTGCTAGAGTGTAGCCTCATCTTGGGTCAATCCGGGAGGGCTTCTCAGAGGGCGCCCACGCCAACTGGGTGAAATAGGTCCTTCTTTTGGTCTGAAAAGAAGAAGTGTCAAGAATGAAGAAGGTTCTCTTTGGATGGAGACCTTGGCAGGAGGCAGAGGATTCCAGGGAGTTCGTCCAGCGGCCCTCGGGGCTCCCCTCCACCAGAAAGGCCAGGGCCAGGAGGGTCCATGACAAAGGGCTGAATCTAGGCATCTCTTGCAGGAGCTCCCCCCAGGGCCATGACAGGACAGGGCACTCAGATCCCCAGCAGGTGAGAGATGAGGCGGTGGCCCAGGGGACTTGGCTGAAAGTGGGGAACACACGTCCCTTGGCCGGGGACCAACCTGGGAGGATTCCAGTGGCTTCCGCAGCAACCGTAGCCTCTTCCCCGGTCCTGTCTCCACCCGCAAGGACGGTGTTAGCATCCCTCCGGCTTCGCACCTGAACACGGGCTGCCAGGCCCCCGCCCATCTGCTCCTGCCCTTCAGTTGCTCCGAGTGTGTTAGGAACTTGCTCTGCGGGAGCCACAGGGGAGGGAGGCAGCATGTGCAGAGGACCCACCAGGCCTCCTCTGAAGCCCCAGCCCAGCTTACTAGCCCCCTGACTCTGGGCAAGTCACATGTCCTTCGTTGGGCCCCGAATGCCCCTTTGCAAAGTGGGGGACAGTACAAGCCAGTTTCCAGGCCTGTTGGAAGACTGACGGAGAACATGGCCAAGAGAGGGGGCTCGCATGAGCAAGCGGGTGCTGAATCCAGGTGGGCTCTGGTATCAGGAGCACCACTGTGGGCACGGTGTCCCTCTCCTTCCCCGCAGGACTTGGGAGCCAGCAACTTTAGGAGTCCCTAAAGTTCACCCATCTGACTTCTCCAAGGGCTTTGAAATCTGAAGAGGGAATCTCCGGAAGAGCAGGGGATCTGAGCCATGCCCCAACACAGCCTCCCTCTGCTCAGATCCGATGGTCTAGCCTTACTCCCCCCTGCCCTCAGTGCTCCACGCCATGACCCCAAACCCGGCCTTTACAGGCCTCTAACCTTGACTCGGGCGGTACTGTGGAGGGGTGTGATTGGGGTCTGCCTCGCCCATCACACTGGACTCAGTCCCCCTCAAACCTGGGCTCCTCGGGGCCCCGACTTCCCTTGGCCCTCGTCCTGCCCTGGCTCCCAGAGGCCCTGAGGTGAGCCGGCCGCTCCTCAGCACCCCAGCTGAGTCTGCTGGCCTCTCCCTCCAGGGCTCCCTGTTGGCTTCCTGGTCCCAGATCCTCAGGCTGCCTGCGAGCCCCACGAGCCCCAGGCTGGCTGGATTTGGGGGCCAACAGAAGGGAAGGTGTGTGTCGGGGTCTGGGGAGGGGTAATGGGTGAAGCTCCGAGGAGGGGAGGAGTCGTCCAGATGGAGCAGTCTGGCCCTCCCCGCCCAGACACAGATAGCCAGCATCTCCTAGCAACCGTCCAGTGGTGGTGGTGGGGGGAACAATGATGTCGTAAATCATCCCCAGCCCCTCCCTGCCAGCCCACCCTGCCTCAGTGGAGAATGGCCTTTCTCTCTCTCCACCTGCCCCTCATTCAAGATTCCCCCAGCAAAGCTAGCCCCTGCTCAGTGCCCCTTCGGGCTGCCCCTCTGGGTCAAGGTGACCATTCTCTGCCTTCTGCTTGAGCTCCAGAGGGAGGGCGTCCTCACCACCTCAGGATCTCTCAGGGACCCTGTCAGAACCTCCCGAACGGTGGGAGCAGGGAGACTGCCTTCCTAGGGGACCCCCCCCCCACCGACCCTGAGGGCCTGGGACACTATCACTTTCCAGTGACTTCTGGTTCATGCTTCTCTCTTCGGGTGGGGATGGAGGCAAGGGGAATTTCAAAGCATTTTGTGACACAGACTCCCCTTGTCTAAGCAAGATTTTATTTATTTATTTATTTATTATTATTATTATTATTATTGTAAGTAGGCTCCATGCCCAACATGGGGCTTGAACTCACGACCCTGAGATTGAGGGCCACACGTTCTACTGACTGAGCTGGCTGGGCGCCGCTCTAAACAACAGATCTTAGACTTGGGTCCCCAAGTCTTGAAGGGGCACTGGGACCTCACCAAGCTGGCCAGGTGCCAACAGCTGGAGTCCAGGCAGCCCAGTGAAGTGACTGCATCCGTGTGGCAGTGTGTTCCTTACTTCTCAAAGTAGCCATGTCAAGCCAAGGGTCGAAGAACAGGTGCTTCGGCACAGATCGGGGTTAGACACTAGCAAGGACTTCCCAAGACAGGAATGTGCAGGATCATGGAATCTCCTGGTTGGAGAGAGGAAAAGCCCATCACAGAAATAAGAAACTGGGTGGGAACCGTTTACACTGATTACGTGAGTGCTTCCTCGGCCATATTACATAACACACAGGGAGTATTCAGCACAGAGCCTGACATACTGTTGGCCTCCATCTTGGCTATTTTTAAAAAATCATATGTTAACATTAATTTTTATGGGACGAGCTAGCAGGAGGAAGGGTTCCATCCCTGGAGATCTATCTCCCATCCTCCGGGAACCCCACGGGAAGATCCAGACAGGAGGTAGTGCCCTGAGTACAAGATGGCAGCCAATTGCTATGGCAACGGCAGCAGAAGGAGTCCGGTGGATTGTGGGGGCAGCGCTGGAGAGCCAGCTGGTGCCAGATGGACGAAGCCGGCAGAAGGTAGCCTTGGCCGGGTGAGGCTCATGCCCCTGTGCCCAGGGCTGTCCCTCCATATGCCAGCCTCAGCCTGGCCCTTCCCCGAAGGCCCCCAGGCCCCACAGATATCTGTGGGGATGATAGCAAACCACTCCCCCTCCTAGCTCCTGCTTGTACCACAAGGAGTGACCGCTTAGAGACAAAAGACCCTGCTGCTCAGAGTCTTGCGGGCCCATGGGCTGAGGGATCTAGAGAAGTCGGGACTGAGCTCACTCCTGGCAACGCTGAGTAGCACCAGCGGAGAGAGTCTGGTGCAGCAGGCTTGGAGGCGGCTCTTGGACACACTCACTGAGGGTCACGGTGTCTGGCGAATGTGCCCTCTGGAGAACCCCAACGTGAGGGCCGCAGGGCTAGGCAATGTGGGGGAACTTCAGCCCTGCTCCCCCCCAGGCCTGCGGGTCAGTGTTTGCACAGGGCCAGAGGGAAGGATGAAAGAAGCCGCCGTTATACGGGGTCCACCGTCTAGGTGTTAAAGAGGCTCGGCGGCTGGAGGCCACGAGAGCTGTCGCCACGCTCCTCAGACAGGCCTCCACCACGGACCGCACCCAGTCCCTCACCCTCCACCCCAGCGATTGCACCCTCACTTCCAAGCCATGGAAGCCTTCCCTGACTGTTCCCACCTACCTGCAACGGCCCTTCTAACTCTGCGTCCCGTTTAGAATTAGCCCTGGACATCTGCATACAACCTTACAAAACACCCTCATTCACAGGGACCCATCTGATCCCTCAGGACAACTGTGGAAGTTAGGATCCAAAGACCTTCAGTGACTTGCCTAAGGTCACCTAGCTCGTAAGGGAGGGAAGCCAGGGTCTGCACCCTGACCAGCCTGTCCAGTTTCAGGGTCAACAACCGAAGCCTCCTTCTGTTGTCCATCCTGAGTGGAGCCCTTCTACCGAATGTGTGAGCAAAAGCTGCAAGCTGACATCCTGCCTGCTGTCGGCACCCCAAACCCAAACATTTATGAGAAGGAACGGTGTGCACCATGAGGCAGGGGCAGTAGGGAAGGTCTATCCATGCTGCTGGTCAGCAAAAAGTGACACGGAGACCAGGCAAGGAGAGAAGCCTCCCCCAGGGATGGCAAGACTGGGTGGAGTCTCAGGCAGCCTTGGGACTCTCTTCTTTCCACCCTCCCCACGCCACCGTCCCTGGGCAGGGGTCCCTGTGCAGGAGCTGGGAAGCACCACGGAAGGGCAGCTATGGCCTGGGGAAGGGAGGCTGGGGGGGGGGCGGTGCCTGGCAGGATGGGGAGTTGCAGTGGGGAAGAAGGCCGGCAGCAAGGCCTCGGTGCGGGGACCTGTGAGGCCTCATGGGACCCCGGAGAGGAGCCTGTCCTGAGCCTGTCACTGTGAGAGCCTGGCCAGATCTCAGCTTCTCCATTTCCTTCCCGGGTCTGGTTAAAGCTTGAGCTACCCCTCAGTCCTCCCCTCCTCCAACACCCTTGCACCCCCCGCAACCCGTGGGCTCTGGGAGCTAAGCCCTCTCACCTGACAGGGCCACTTCCATGGCCACTCACAGAGAAGCCTTTGTGCAGAGGCTGGGCCTGGGGGAAGGGTGGGGCTGCACCCCTACTTCCCTTCCCCCCCAGTGGCCAGCAGCAGCGCCTTACCTCCACAGCTGCCTCCTCAGCCTCCCACAGCCTTTCTCCAGGAGGGATCCCCTCAGAGCCCTGGCCCACCCCCGACAACAACCCACCCTGTCCCTCACCCCCTCTTCCAGGGGTTTCCCAGGACCCACCGTCTTCTCTGCTTTTCACTCCAGTCCCCAGCTGCCCGTCTTCCTTGCTGACCCCGGGGCACCGCTGCTGGGCACCAACCTGGCTTCTCCACCTCTCTTCCCAGAGAGCTCCCACAAGCCTACCCATGTGCAAGCGGGCGTGCATGCGGGCAGTGGGGCAAGGCCGGGGCTAGAGGCAGAGGCCCTTCCTCAGGTGGCTCTCAGGCCTTAAACATGTTCCTTCATTTGCAGACCTAACCAGGAGCTCGTGAAACATCCAGCTGGGCACTGGGCTGAGTAGGCAGCTAGATGCATGTCCTGCTCCCTTCTGGGAGTGGTCATGTGCTGCCCCTCGGCTGTACCCCTGCTCCCAGCATCTCGGAGGCTATCAGCTAACTCCCCAGCGCCCCGTCACATCCAGCCTCCCTGGTGGGGTCCATGTCCCATCTCCTCCTGGCCCCGAGTCCCCCTAACGGATAGCCCCGTCCCCTGCCTGTCTACTCTCCACCACCCACTTCCTCAGACTTTGGACTTGATGACACCCTGTCTACCTTTTATCACCGCCCCCCCGTGTCACCACCCCCCCTCTGGCCCCTCCAGGAGGCCCTCCCTAACTGCCCAGGTCTTTCCCGTCCTGTGTTCCTGTGTGTCTGCCCTCCCTGCCAGACCATTAGCTCCTCAGAGCATCCCTGGGTCCCACCTTCAACTTTGGCACGACCCCAGCCCACAGCAGGCACGCAGTAAATGCCTGTTAATGGAATGAGCGGACGTGGAGGCAGAGTGAAGGGAGAGGAAGGTGTGGGTGTGAGGGGCACCACAAAGGGGGGAGATGGGTCCTGGTGTGAGTGGTGTGGAGAGGGAGGGCCTGCTCCCGATGGGACCTGAGGGCCTAGGAGTTTGGTGGGGGCAGGAGCCCGGCCAGGCCTTAAGCAGGGCTGAACCGGTGAGCATCTGGACTCTGGACCATATCTGGGGAGCGGCAAGCAGGGGAGCCCTCCCGGCCCTCCTTGCAGCTCGAGCCTGGGCATCCAGGATGCAGGTGCACCCCTCCAGCCTCCGCCCTGGGAGCTAAGGGTGGGAGCACAGAGAGCAGGTAGGGGAATGGGTCTGGAGTTCAGAGAGGCCAGAATGAGCGAAGTGGGAGAGTGTCTGGAACCTCACGATGGCTGACGGGATACACTAGCAGAGCTGCAGAACCCTGGGGA